AAGATAGTAAAAACGACATCACTTGAACACCTTCAACAAGAGAAGGAACTAAAATGGATGGCACATGTAAATGGAAGACATAATCATATATAACTCCATGACATAATCAAGATGTTGACGTTCCAGTCTACTTAAAAAAAGAGTTAGGAAGTAAGTCCAAATCAATACTGGAACTAATGCTAAGAAAGATCGTTCATTGTGTCGTGTTAGACACATTTTCTCTTCATAATCTGACATATTTATAAGTCCACCATTCTTCCAGGCTTTGAATATTGCTGTCAGATATGGTTCGGTGTTATATATATATATATATATATATATATATATATATATATATATATATATATATATATATGTGTGTGTGTGTGTGTGTGTGTGTGTGTGTGTGTGTGTGTGTGTGTGTTCTTGATAAAATGCAAAGAAGAATCATCAATATTATTGGTCCTGACTTGATGTCTCGACTTCGTTAAGTTGCTTCCCTGTGCCTTTTTTTGTGAATAATTTCCTGGTAATTTTTCAGATGAACTCACCGCTATGATACCTAGAATTTATAAACGTCGTACTAGATTAGCAAAAAGTTCTCATTGATTCACACTTGAATTGCTGAGATGTAGCCGTAAGTTTTGTGCTAACAGTATTTTCTCTCGCTTGTGGAAATCTATCCCGGCTCCACACTTTTCATCCAACAATTTGAAAGCAAATTTCAACAGTCTTCTTGACTTCTCTTTTTTTTTTTATTGTTCTCTCATCTGAATAAGATTTACCTTTCCTCTTATTCTTTCACGCTCAGTAACCCATTTGTGTGTCTGAGTGAATTTTCTTTCCTTGTATGTCGTGAAATTATTTAAAAAAAATATGCGATAACAGTTACTGGATTTGAGAAACCTATTATTTTTTAAGCAAGGCGAAAATGCAACGAGGATGAAAGTGGATACTGGGAGTGAAAGACAGAGTAAAATATTTAGTGAGAATTGACAATAAACGAACAGGTTTCAGGAAGACAGAAGAGGGCGATAATGACACTAAGACATTATTGGGTACTGTGTGTAGAAGAGAATGTGAAGTCATTTGGGAGGAGAAAGGACAATAAAAGAACAGGTTTCAGGAAGACAGAAGATGGCGATAATGCTACTAAGACACAAGGAGTTAATGTGAATGAAAGAAAATTTGAAGACTTTAGTGAGGAGAATGGACAATAAAGGAACAGGTTTCAGGAAGACAGAAGACAACGTTAATGACACGATGACGCAAGGGGTTACTGGGAGTAAAAGAGAATATGGAGGCATTTATGATGGAAAAGGACAATAAAAGAACAGCTTTCAGGAAGACTGAAGATGGCGATAATGCCACTAAGTCGCAAGGGTTTACTGGGAGTGAAAGAGAATGTGAAGACATTTTTGAAGAGAAAGGACAATAAAAGAAGAGGTTTCAAGTAGACTGAAGATGGCAATAATGCCATTAAGGCACATAAGGTTACTGGGACTGAAAGAGAATGTGAAGATATTTTTGAGGAGAACAATAAAAAAACAGGTTTCAGGAAGACAGAAAATGGCGGTAATGCCACTAAGACACAAGGCCTTACTGGGAGTGAAAGAGAATGTGTAGACTCTTTTGAAGAGAAAGGACACTATAGGAACAAGTTTTAGGAAGACAGAAGATGGCGGCAATGCCTCTAAGACACAAAGGGTTACTGGGAGTGAAAGAGAATGTGGAGACATTTTTAAGGAGAAAAGAAAATAAAAGATCATGATATAAAAGATGACCATTGGCATTGCATTTAAATTTTTGAAGATTATAGGTTGCACAGAAGCAAGGAATCGGGAGTATCACAGGTGAGAAATGCGAGTAAAAAACCTAATAGAATAGAACTGACAGATGTATTTATCCTGCAAGTCCATTTAATTTTATTTGTTCCTAATAATGCTCTGTTTCTTGATATTGAAAACTTTAATTACAACCACTGATTCCCTTCAAGGAACACATTGGTGAGGTTCGTGTTTAACCCAATCGTTAGTATTTAAGCCTAAAAGTCTAAAATAAATATGTAATGAATGTCTAAAAAATTGTCCAATATTTTTATATTTTTATTAAGCTGTTCCTTAATAAAATATATCTAAATGTCAGACAATTTTTGTGTTTATTTTCTCCCGAAATTAAAGCAACATACGAGGCGGGTGTAACAGTAAAATTGTCTAAATCGTATAACACCAAAATTATTCAATTGTTAGATTAAGTTTTGAACAATTGTATCTTAGAAATAATTAAAGATACCTTACCAGAACTTTCCGAGGTTTTATAACATTATTGGACTATAAACAATAAGTATGCATTTAGCTCAAAGTTGAAATGATGATCCCTCTTTCTGTTGTGATATCCTGATCCGTTTTCCCTTTATACTGCCCCCTCTTTTTAAACTTATTCACAGTTCTCTTTATGGTTCTTAACTGGTCTTTGAAGATGGAAGGCAGACTATGAATATTCGTACCATTACTGAAGGGCTGAATGATCTTTTTACTCTCACCATTGCTCAGTTGGGAATATATAGTGGGACTGACTCAAAACGATTTTAACCTGTTCTCATTCCAGCTGAATAACTCAAAAGGTTTTTATTTGATTCTGATGACATGGTGTCAAGATGGCTAAATGTTTTAACTGAAAAAATGAGAAACTCTATTAGTTAAGTGTTTTTTTTTTTTAGATATTAAACATTTTGTGGGATGGATAATTATCCCGTGCTGTTACACAATTTGCGCAATTTGCTAAGTAGAGCAAATTAAGTAAACCTAAAAAGCCAGACAAACCTACCTAGGTTTCACCTCCGCGGATCGTCAGGGTAAACTAGCCTGTTTACCCTGACGATCCACGTAGATGAAACCTTGGTAGATTTGTCTGGCTCTTTAGGTTTACTTAGTTTGCTCTACTTAGCGTATATTTACTTTTCTTAGTTATTTTTACATTTTTACTCGTGTCGGAGGTTTTTTTTCTTTGGACTCAGAACTTAGATTCTAGACGATTATTTTCGCCGGAAGTACATATTATTAGTTCTTTTTTTTTTTAACCTTTTTTTTCCTTGGGTATTGGTTTGTTCATTTACAAGCTAAAACACCTAAGGTTTTGCCGGACGAGTATAGCTACTTATATTTATAAGATTATTAGTATTATATATATATATATATATATATATATATATATATATATATATATATATATATAAAATATGGATAAGAATCCGACAGAATGATAGGATAAAGAATCAGATGTCAATCAAAAATATTTCATTTTATTATTTTTTATCATTTCTATCTCGATCTGTGACGAAGCTTTAATAAAGTTATACATGTTAGATTCAGATTTGTTTCCTACTTGTACTGTATGCAATATATATATATATATATATATATATATATATATATATATATATATATATATATATATTGAACAATAAAAAGTATTAAAAAATTAAAAACTGCAGACACACTGGGTTGTAGATTAATATTCTTTCGTTTTTATTATTATTATTTCATTTAGATACCTCGACTAGTTTCGGCCCAAAAATGGACATCATCGGGAGGAGAAATATTTCTGCTTGCTGGTAGCAGGAAACTACAGAAATGAATGTCTTGCTGGAGAAAATATATATATATATATATATATATATATATATATATATATATATATATATACGCGTATAAGACAACCATTAGATAAGACGAGCTAAAGGAAAGTATAGCAGATTTTCATGAAGTTATGCAATTCCTGTAGTATAAGATGACTGCTTATTGATTATATAAAGATAATGTTATTGGAAAAGTTGTTAATTATTGTATCCCAAAAAATTCAAAATAAACTAAAAAATGACACCGATTCTATATCATGCTTTTACTATACACTTCAAATAAAAGAGCAACCATTGTTTTGTTTACGTTTCATCAATTGATCTCGAGCGAATACTGATTCTTCTTCTTCTTTTCCTATATCTAAACAGTTACAAACAGCCTGGTGTACTAATGACCATCTACTTATACTTCAACGACAATCACAAAATACCACACTGTACAAAAATAGCACATGCTATTGCTGTGAACGCAATCATAACACGATGTTTACATTTTCTCATCTCTACTTGCATGGATACAAGTTGTTTTCATTGATATTGAAAATGAATGGATGGATTGTTTTATATATGTATCCATAGTTATAGGAATGATTTATTTTCAAAACAGGGTCAGCACATTTTGGAAGTGTTCATAATCGATATTATTGAATGTTGGATTTTTCATTTTTCTCAATAATGTTCCCATTATTTTTACATGTGGATGTGACTATTATATTTGTATTATCGATATATAATATATCAAATATTTGTATCATAAAACAATCCATACAGTCAGTTAAAAGTAAAAAAAATAAAATCAAGTTCACCGAATCCGTCATCGAACACATGAGAGAGTTATGACATCCTTTAACTTTTCTTTCGTTCGCTATCAAAGAATAGTTCGTTATTTATGAGGAATTGGCAGGACGTAAAGGTCGTGCTAAGAAAATGAGAGAGAAGCAAAATTATATGATATTAGATAATGCCAAAGTTCCTCGTGCCACCAATGTCAGCGAAATCTCAGAAGTGTCTTTGAAGATGAATCGGTTCTTTATCACGTGTGCAATCGGTGAACTGTATTATGGTCTTGGAGCTTCATGAAGAATTTAGATGCTAGGAAAATATGATCGATTGATTTGTTTTCTACAGCTTATTAACCATTTGTAGGTTGTTTAAAGCCAGAAAATATTTTTAGATTGTAAGATTTTTTGCTTGTTTGGAGATAATGATTTTGTGATACAGGTCTTGGTATTTAACGCATAGCTAGGGAGACAAAAGAGGTGGATTCATACCTTTCTCAAGTGTATTTACGCCTAAGTGAATAACACGAAACAAATGGAATTTGAACTCGGCTCTCCGATTAACAATTTCGAACAATTATCCATTGAACCACCACACATCCGAGCTTACAGCTTCTGGTATTCCCAAGCGGTCACCCATCAAGGTACTCTCCAGGTTCGGCGTTGCTTAAATTCGGTGATCGTACGAGAATCGATGTTTCACTGTAATACGACCATAATCCTCTAAAAAAATAGGTGACATATGAACTTACAGTAATGAAATTTGAAGTGACCACCATCGAGATTTGAACTGTTATCTTGTCTTATATATATTTTTTTTCGTTTAGTTTTTTAAGCATATCACCCCATGCAAGGTGGGAGTGCCCCTCGCACGCAAGGGGTTACAGAGAGTGGGCGCAAAAGTAAAGAGGGGTGTTTGAGGAAAGGATAAAGAGAAGGACGAGGATCAGGATCAAGGCTTCAGAAGATGTGGACTGACATTACATTTGAATATTTGAAGATTATAGCAATCACGGAAGCAAGTAGGAGGAAGGGAGTTCCACTGACAGGAAGTGCAAGATAAGAAGCTGTTGGAGTAGAAAAGACGGCTACATTTAATCGTTTTGACAGTGAAAGGGTGGGACCGAGATGCCAACCTAGTAACACGCTTAAATTCATGCAGCTTGGGAACCAGTGAAAGTAGCTCGTCAGAGCAGTTGCACTGGAAATACTTGTAGAAAAGACAGAGGGAAGCCACAGCACGTCTGTGAGAAATTGACTGTAGACGAGATGCCAGAGAAAGACCTATCATGTTGCATGAACGAGATTTTACTATTTTCACAACGGATATCTCTCTGCAGGCGAAATTGAAACTTTTAATCTTTATTTTTTTTCGTTATCCGATTTGCTCGACTACGTTTGTTTCCACCGATACGAAGTGGCCACAGACGTAATATGCTTATTTTTTTATGCATTTCTTAGGAATGGCATTGCTATACCAGCGTCGTCTAAAAATGGCTGCAATATTCAAGTCATTTTGCTATTTCAGTTTACTGATTAATGATAAAAATCATGTCGTTTCATACTCTCGCGTTAATATTCAATGTTTCCTGAATACTAAACTAAACAATTAACACCACTAATGAATAATTAAGATTTCTACGTCAACAGAAAAATAATGAGAATATGTGTTGTAGAAAACTGTTACACGAATAAAACATTAAGAGCTATGTATACACACAACGTTTCATATATAAGAATTATTATATAATTATTAATTCTATTCTCGTATATTATTCGAACTTTCGAATGTTCCATTTAATATCAACCATTTCATGTTTACCTCCCTTGGCTACTTGACTATTTGACATTCAAATTTTTCGATGAAGTGTTTTCAATCGTCATTAATGAATTTACCCATTTCGTCAAAAATAACGTGTTTAAATAATTTGGAAATTGTACTAATAAAATATCAAAAACTTTAGGGAGCTTCGCATTTTCTTGATTAAATTAAATGCTTCCTAAATATCAAACTCATCTATGAACATTTTATTCACCATTGAATAATAATTTTTACATCAACGGAAGAATAAATATGTGAATACAAACAATATTGAAAATATTATATAGATAAATGAATTGCCACCCTTCGTAGGGGTCGTCGTCACCGGCCCCTGGGTTGGGCTGAAAGCAGCCTATCACGGCCTCGTTTTTCCTGGGCCACCGACGAGTCAACAGGGACTAATTTAGCTCCGTAAAACTCAACCAGTAACCACATGGTGTCCGAAAATGGAGTGGCCAAGTATACAACATAGGAACGAGGATGTCCCAGCAGTTGCAACAAAGCATCCGAAAACTGAATCCCCGTTGAACCTGAAGACGAATGTATTTCGACGTTGCAACAAAAATGAGAACTGTTAACCGAACGAACTTTACTGCCATCAGTTAAGTCCTCGCAAAAACAACTGTTTTTTGCAACGATTTTTTAAACCCAATTTTTCTATCTTCCCTATTCTTTCTTCCTCTTTCTGATATAAAGCCTTTCTTTTTTCCACTCAAGTTTTTGTTGTCCTGTTTTCTCTCGCCGTGTCGTGTCAATGCTCTTCTTACCCTTATTTTCTACAGAGGACAAATTATTGGTCACATACATTCAAAGGGTATAAAAACCCTCATAGCAAAAAGAAGAGAAATGTGTACATATAGCCTTTTATGTATGGAGATTATTATATAATTACTAACTCGCATCTTATTTCACAATTCTATTATTCCATTTAATATGGAATGATTCAAATTTGTCTGTCCTGGGTATGAAGATAAACTATATCCGTCTCATGTGTAAGACGATAAACTATGTCCAACAGCAAGGCCTCTGATCAGGAGGTTTTGAGGAGCGTGGAATCACCCCTGAAATGATGATGTTCCCAGGTCCATCCAGACCCGGGGTGGTGGCACCTGTTAGGGTCCCAACTATGGGCAAATAGTTAATCCCCAAAATTGGGGTCAAAATACCATGAAAGTGTAAAAAATAGGTTTTAATATCAGAAATACTTTTTTTGTAAAAAATTATTAGCACAAATACATTATTACCAAAATACATTTTTGGAAAAAAAAAAAAAAATTACCAGCTATACATTTTTTGAAAAAAATATTACCAGCAATAGATTTTTGAAGGAAAAAATATTACCAGAAATAAAAAAAAAATTGTCGGCATTAAATAATCCACTAAAATTGATATGGCGTAAAACAAAACAAATCGAACCAAATCAAATTTCTTTTCCTTATTGAATAATTTAAGGCCTTTGACAAAGTACGTCACAAGGATCTGTTGGAACTGCTCAGCAACCTTGATATATTCGGGAAAGATATCAGAATAATCCCGAACCTATACTGGCAGCAAACAGCATGCATGAGTATAGAGAACGAATTCAACGAATATACAAAAATAGAAAGGGGTATAAGGCAAGGATGCGTCTTCTTACTGGACCTATTCAACATATACAGCGAGGCAATTCTGAGAGAATTGGAAATCCTACCTAATCACAATCTAAAAATATTTCATGGCTTTAAAGCAATGTGTTGATGGACCATAAAAAAAAGAATCAATCAATTTATTTTAGAGAGGTTTGCCTAAAATTTAAAATCCGCCCACCATTTATTACCACTAACATGGTAGATTAGGCAAAAAGTACCAAAATCTTACGGAATCTTTATGCAGTAATGGATTAATTCCGTTATTATTATTATTATTGAATATATGATAAAACTCTTCATGGAGAGAAAGTCCTTCTGTTCCAGAGCGAGCGAGTAAATTAATTTTGGAAAAAAAAAGGCAGCAACCCTGAATTTTTTACGTGCTTCTTCGAAATCTAAAAGATAATGTAAAACTGTTGGTCTACAGGGTGCATATGTTTTAAAATACCTTTCTTTAAAAGTTAGAATGAAATATTTCCTTTTAATGATATTTCTAGCAAAGAACTGTTATGAAAATTGCCTGATCCAGAACATTCGTCTAAGAAATATTGGTCTAAGGAACATTAGTCTAAAGAATATATGGCTAAGAAATATTTGTCTCAAGAATTATGGCTTAATGTATGTTGTATTAATATACAAACAATTCATGCCAATAAATGCTTATAAAATATATGTATCATCAGTAATTAATGTTTCTATAATTGTCTTAAATATTATTCTGTCATATAGTGAATATCAATTAATCAAATCGATTATTTTGAATAAAGTGTTAATTGATTAAAAAATATTATTATAGACCAATGGGTTATCCGTAGACCAATTGTTCTGAGATCAGAATTCCTTAGACAAATGTCCTTAGACAGGTTTCCTTTAGACCAATTGTTTTTAGTAAATATTCCTAATAACCTCAGTCATTGGCTGATTTTAAACGTTGACCAAAATCTCGCATGAAGTGAAATTCAAAATTTAATACCAATTGGCTTTCAAAGGTAACTCTGTAATAAAGCCAAATAGAGGGAAGATAATAAAGGAAGATTGCATAGCACCAAATTTCTAAAGTGAAGAGACTTAGCTGCCATAAAATTAGCAAGCAAAATAACGAAAAAATTAAAATTAATCTTGGAAAACTGCATTTAGCTTGGCGTGAAGTGTTTACCTTGGCAATCGGCACCTGAAATTGTACTTTATTTTTATCTGTCAGGGTCAGGGTTAGAGGTTGAGTACTGGTCACCATTTGAACGGTCAGGGTCAGGGTTAGAGGTTGAGTACTGGTCTCCATTTGAACCGGTCAGGGTCAGGGTTAGAGGTTGAGTACTGGTCTCCATTTGAACGGTCAGGGTCAGGGTTAGAGGTTGAGTACTGGTCTCCATTTGAACGGTCAGGGTCAGGGTTAGAGGTTGAGTACTGGTCTCCATTTGAACGGTCAGGGTCAGGGTTAGAGGTTGAGTACTGGTCTCCATTTGAACGGTCAGGGTCAGGGGTTAGAGGTTGAGTACTGGTCTCCATTTGAACGGTCAGGGTCAGGGTTAGAGGTTGAGTACTGGTCTCCATTTGAACGGTCAGGGTCAGGGGTTAGTGGTTGAGTACTGGTCTCCATTTGTACCGGTCAGGGTCAGGGTTAGAGGTTGAGTACTGGTCTCCATTTGAACCGGTCAGGGTCAGGGTTAGAGGTTGAGTACTGGTCTCCATTTGAACGGTCAGGGTCAGGGTTAGAGGTTGAGTACTGGTCTCCATTTGAACCAGGGGTCAGGGTCAGGGGGTTAGAGGTTGAGTACTGGTCTCCATTTGAACGGTCAGGGTCAGGGTTAGAGGTTGAGTACTGGTCTCCATTTGAACGGTCAGGGTCAGGGTTAGAGGTTGAGTACTGGTCTCCATTTGAACGGTCAGGGTCAGGGTTAGAGGTTGAGTACTGGTCTCCATTTGAACGGTCAGGGTCAGGGTTAGAGGTTGAGTACTGGTCTCCATTTGAACGGTCAGGGTCAGGGTTAGAGGTTGAGTACTGGTCTCCATTTGAACGGTCAGGGTCAGGGTTAGAGGTTGAGTACTGGTCTCCATTTGAACCGGTCAGGGTCAGGGGTTAGAGGTTGAGTACTGGTCTCCATTTGAACGGTCAGGGTCAGGGTTAGAGGTTGAGTACTGGTCTCCATTTGAACGGTCAGGGTCAGGGTTAGAGGTTGAGTACTGGTCTCCATTTGAACGGTCAGGGTCAGGGTTAGAGGTTGAGTACTGGTCTCCATTTGAACGGTCAGGGTCAGGGTTAGAGG